TTAAGTCCTATGCAACATGTCACAATGTGGAAATTTCTGTCAAGTTAGGGAGAGAAAAAAGTGACTTATGCTTAACTTGGCATACATTCCTTTAAAAATGTCTGTTATTTTGTGTAAGAAAAGCATACAGTTAAGTCCTTCAGCCCTTACCAAAACAATCAGAAAACTATCAATAATTTACCCTTAAAGTTTCCCACTGATTCTCTTAATGAATTAGGGACAAAGCAATGGAATGTAAGTGGAGTGAAATAAGAATCACAAATGTACTATATAAATGCACATGAGTTATTGTAGTTTGGAATTTATAGTGCTTGAAAAGTAGTTTTACTTTACAAGTTAATGTGTACCATGGAGCAATTAACCACATATAGGAAAGACCCAGAAGGCCCTCAGATAAGTCACTGAAATCTTTCCAGAAAATTGAGGTGATTAGCCCTCCAATGACTTCCCTTTGTATTCTTGATTATTATGCATGACTCAAATTATGTTTATTTCCAAATAGATATAGAGTGGAATTGTCTGTAAACTGTCTTTATGTAAGCAGCAGGTTATCGGTGAAAGAAGTCATATAGATGATTATATGACATAATATAATCAGAGAAGAGAATATTGAAGTGCACTAATAACTGCTCAATATGTGATTTTGACAGTGGCAAATGAGTGGGGGCAAAACTAGGAATGAAAGGAACAAAGTGGAAGAAAATGAACACGTATTTCTCTCAACATTATAGAAAACTGCTAAACTAGACTGTAATAAAAAATTTACATATCATTCAAGATGTGGACAGTTCAGTATAAAATAAAAAGTACAATGTTCTAAAATGCAATGAGTTTTTCATTTATTTCAATTGGCATTACTGTATTTCTAGGGACTTCGGGAGAAATTGTAGTAGCCTGACGATAAATTTGACTGGAGGTTTTGGAAGTCCAGTCCCAACAGTGGTGGGCTTCCAGTGTCATGTCAGAGCCATGCCAGACTCAGGATTAGGGCAAAGTGCCCAGCTGATGGCTGCCAGCGAGGCACAGCTGCAGGGACTGTTGTTGGGTGGGGAAGTCTGAGCTTGCTTCTTTGCTGGCCAAATCCTCCATATTTCAGGACAGCCCTGAGTGTGTTTTAAGGTAATTGTTTACTCCCCCTGTTGAGGACAGGACCAAGGTAATATTTCTTTTTTTATTCCCAGGGCATGTGACAAAGTAGATTCTAGATAAATTTGTTGAATAACTATAGTTTATCCCCATCTAGGTTTATTATCCCTATTATAATATTCTTAGTAAGACAATAGTGTGACTGTTAATCAGAGTCCCCAAATTTATTTAAATTATTTTTTTGCCTAGACTTTTTCAAATCCTACATAATTGTTTTGCACCGAAGCTTACGGGTCAGTGTTAATTTGCATAGTTGTTTCAAATCAAATGCTATATCCCATTTCTTGCATTCACTCAGTTATTCACTGCTAATGTCTAAATCGGGTAAGTGAAAAGGACAATTGTTTAGTGCTTTTTAAAGTCCCTGACCAAGATCAGTAGGGAAATCCCATTAGCTCCATTCATCGCATTTCTCATAAATCTAAAAGGAAAGCAAGTATCCAAAGCCTTATTCTTTAATAGTTCTTATTTGTAAAACCATGACAGGGCTTTATTCTAAATTGCTTCCAAATTATGTGAAGAGTACTGAAAAATATGATGGGTAGTGAATCGTGATAGTTCTGAGTTACCGAATAAATAACCGAAACAGTAAAAGGGGACTAATCTGAAAGCAAACAGTATGATGTGCTAGGATAAGGCAAAAAGAAAACTGTGGCGTTCTTAAACTACCATCTGGCCCAATCCTGTCTAAGTGGGCAAGCTGAAGAGCCTTTTATTCAGCACCCTAAAACTTATTCAAAAGGAGTATTTGGATATTAATATTTTCATAGTTAAAAAACCACCCAAAACCAAAAAACCTTTTTGTAGCCAGAAAGGAGTGTTTAACAAAATAATGGGTAATCCTCTGGCTAAACATGAGGGCATGGGGCAACCTGTGGGTGGCAGGTCCAAGACATACACAGCATGGCCACTGGGCAGCATTCTGGCCTTCACTCCTCCGCTTCTTTGTGGTTAGAGAACTTTATTAAAAGTCATCATTATGGTTTGAAATTTAAGCAAGAGGTCTAAAAATAGGGACTTCATTAGTAGAAATGACTGCAGGGGTTTCTAACATCTTACTTCACCAACAAGAAACAATATAGATTTGCCACATAGGATAATTGAGGTGACACAATAGAAATTATAATCCATATTTCAAATTGTGCTTCTATGAAGTGTGAACCTGTTTTGTCACTTTCTAACAGACCCCTGACAATTGTCGTTTTGTTTTAAGTCCTGGATTTTTACATGAGACTGTAAGAGACTTTTGTTTTCCTGAGGTGTATATGAAAAGTTTAAATTGAAAAATAGCATCCCACTACTTATCTTCAGCAAAGATGCTTAGAAAAAGGTACTTTAGCATTCTCTGTGGTTTAAAAGACAAAACCAAGTCCTGCCGGCTTTGTGTTGTGCTTCTCTTAGAGACTGCAGTGCCTTCTGTCTGCTTTAGGGTGTGGCATCTGCCATTGGGGAGGAGAAGCTGGCATGTGTCGCCTTTTATAGCAGGCTGATTTCATTGTGCTGGGGCCTCCACTTCAGAGCCTCTTGGTTCTAATCTTCTAGTTGACTTGCTGAGGCAAATGGAATTAAAAGTGTTTTCAAGTTATATACCTAATTTTTCAGTTCCATGATTTTTCTATATGAAAAAATATTTTTAAGGGGCAGAGCTGAACTTGGTGACTCACTTTCCCTTTTAGCATTAGTTGTGAAAATAAGTCAAATATGGCCACACTTATATGAACTGACTTTGATGTATTTTACCAGTTGGAAAAAAAAAACATACTTTTATGATTACATGTATACATTTACCTTGACTACAAATGTCTAAAAGCATAAATCTGTAATTGATTTTTAGAAGATATGTATATACACATACACAAAACATATATTTATATTTGCATATGAAAAACTTAAAAAATTCAACTTCTGTGGTGTAATACATATAATTAGTATATATTTGAATATAGAAAGAGAGAAAACCTAGGAGAAAATGTCAAAAAGGCACACTAACAAAGATGTAGTATTTTCCTGGCCAAAACTGATGAATGATTTGGCATGAATTCATCTTACATTCTGTTATTCTCTTTTACACACCATGATATGTTTTCCAGTTGTTTGCATAGAATTGCAATTTGTTGTTTCTACACTCTTTAATGACCCTTGGGTATGCACCTGATTCCCCTCCCCCACAATTAGCCACCAGTTTTTCCCATCTATGGTTTTCTATTTAGTCATGTAACATATTTGCACTTGGTCAAGCAAACAAAAATAACCACTGCAGTTGAAATAAACTAAAATAGTCATTATGAAAACTGAAGAATGAAATGATTTTAGAAAACTATATTATACCAAAATCATATATATTATTTCAGCCTACTGTGACCTCTTGAAAGCTCTGGTTTCAAATGCTTTCTCTCCATAAAAACTGAGTCCAATTGTACTGATAGTACAACTAAACCATTGCTTAAGTTAAGAGGTCTTGATTAAATAAAGATATCAAAATGTTACTAGGTGATAAATTAACAATAATAAAGACATTTAAAGCATCACAATGTGATAAAACAGTAGTATTTTTAAAAGAACAAAGTATGAAACATTTCTGTTCCGGGATTAGATTTGATTATTACTGATCTTATGTTTATTAAGGATAACATGTTATTTCTTTTAGTTTTGCTTCACACTCCTTAGAAATGAACTTATATGAAGGTTAACTGTGCACATTAACCTCTGGAATATGATGAAAGGTATCTCATAGATTTTCGAAGACATAAATTTTAGCTGACCCTATTACGGCACCAATAGTAAAATTTTCATGTACAAAAACTAAAATATCCATGTGCAAAATAACACACCACATTATATATTTGAGGACTTCTCTTTTACAGAGACAACAGGCAAATAACTGCATTGTAAGGAAAATGCTCCTTTGAGAATACTTTTGAGTTTTCATTGATAAGCGTATATACAGAACGTGCCTTAAAAAATAAACATCTTTGGGGCGGGTGCAGTCAGTCTCAGCACTTATCGAGTACCTGCTGTGTACAGGGCACAATGCCTCTTGAAAGCGGCTAACCTTCTCTTAAACTCTTTCCTAATTTTGCAGTTTGAAGAAGTTGTGGGAATTACGCGGATGGCCCCAAATCAAGGCAGGGAGGCCACCATTCTGAAAAATTACGTAACTCCTGGGAGAGGCAGTGCTTTTGCACAGATTGCCCAAATATTTTCTTTCTCTGTCGGCTCCTCGTAATCTGTTGAGGTCGACAGACAACTTTGTTCCCCAGCCCTTCTCCCTCTTTTGTCTGCTCGTCAGACCCGTTTTCCACCTTTGTATCGTTCCTTTTAGACGTGAAAACAAACATGCGAAAGCCCGGTTGGCAAGGAGACGGAGGCACGAGGGGAAAGTGCAGCCTCGCGTGGCCCCACGCCGCCGCGCTCCGGGCGCCTGCCGAGCGGCCCAGGCACCGGCCAGCGGCCGCCGGGTGCGCGCCAGGCTGCGCCGGGGCGGGCGGCGGGCGCAGGGCCCGGCGGGCGGCGGCGGCCCGGGCCGAGTCCAGTCCGCGTTTTGCGAGCGCGCCCCAGCCATCGGGGAGTAGTGGATAATAGTCGCTCGGGCGCGCTCGGCTCGCTCTCCTGCGTGCTGGGCCCGACAGGCTCCGCCAGTAGTGTGTTTACCCATGTCCGGGTCAGAGAGGAAAAGAGAAAAGTTTCATTTAAACCTGAACTAAAAACTTTGACCATGAAATCACTCAGCGGGAGCAGGCCCAGACCGTAAGGCGGGACTCCCGGTTCGGCTCCGGCGGAGCCTGAGGGGGAGGGGGCTCGCCTGGGTCCCGTCGGGGCGTGCGGATGCGCGCAGGAGGGGCCGCCGACTCAAAAGTGGGTTTTATTGTCTCCCCCCGCCCCCCGCCCGGCCTCGCCACGCCGCGGCGATCATGGCCGCGCGGGCGCGGGCGGGCAGCGGCGAGAGGCGGGCGCCTCCCGGGCCGCGGCCGGCGCCCGGGGCCCGGGACCTGGAGGCGGGGGCGCGCGGCGCGGTGGCGGCGGCGGCACCGGGGCCCGTGCTGGGGGGCGGCGACGGCGGCGGCCCGAGTAGTGTGCACCACCACCCCCTGCACCCCCGTCACGACCTGAACATGGCCCATAGCGCGAGCGCGGCGGCCGCCGCCAGCACTGGCAGCGCCAAGAGCGGCGGCTCCTCCGCGGCTCTCACGGAGGGTGCAAGCGCCGCCGCGCCGCCGTCCTCCTCCTCCTCCGCGGCGGCGGCGTGCTCTTCCTCCTCGTCGGGCCCGGGCTCGGCCATGGAGACGGGGCTGCTCCCCAACCACAAACTGAAAGCCGTTGGCGAGGCCGCCGCCGCACCGCCCCAGCAGCACCACCACCACCGCCATGCCCACCACCACCACCATGCCCACCTCCACCACCACCGCCACCACGCACTGCAGCCGCTCAGCCAGTTCCAGCCGCAGCCCGCTTCCAACAGCAGCCTCGGCGGCGCGGCGCAGCCCGCTCCCGACATGGAGCAGCCGCAACATGGAGGCGCCAAGGACAGCGCCGCGGGCAGCCAGGCCGACCCCCCGGGCCAGCCTCTGCTGAGCAAGCCGGGCGACGAGGACGACGCGCCGCCCAAGATGGGGGAGCCGGCGGGCGGCCGCTTCGAGCACTCGAGCCTGAGCGCCCTGGGCGCGCAGCAGCCGCCGGTCGCCGTGCCCGGGGGCGGCGGCGGCCCGGCGGCCGGCTCGGAGTTCAATAATTACTATGGCAGCGCTGTCCCTGCTAGCGGCGGCCCCGGCGGCCGCGCTGGGCCTTGCTTTGATCAACATGGCGGACAACAAAGCCCCGGGATGGGTATGATGCACTCCGCCTCGGCCGCCGCCGGGGCCCCCAGCAGCATGGACCCCCTGCAGAACTCCCACGAAGGGTACCCCGGCAGCCAGTACAACCATTATCCGGGGAGGAGGAGGAGCAGCGGGAGCCGTGGCGGCGGCGGCCGCGGCGGCGGCGGCAGCAGCAGCAGGAGGCGGCGGCGGCGGCGGCGGTTATGGGGGCTCGTCCTCGGGGTACGGGGTGCTGAGCGCCCCGCGGCAGCAGGGCGGCGGCATGATGATGGGCCCCGGGGGCGGCGGGGCCGCGAGCCTCAGCAAGGCGGCCGCCGGCGCGGCGGCCGGGGGCTTCCAGCGCTTCGCCGGGCAGAGCCCGCACCCGTCGGGGGCCACCCCGACCCTCAACCAGCTGCTCACCTCGCCGAGCCCCATGATGAGGAGCTACGGCGGCGGCTACCCCGACTACAGCAGCCCCAGCGCGCCGCCGCCGCCGCCGTCGCAGCCCCAGTCCCAGGCGGCGGCGGCGGCGGGGGCGGCGGCGGGCGGCCAGCAGGCGGCCGCGGGCATGGGCTTGGGCAAGGACCTGGGCGCCCAGTACGCCGCTGCCAGCCCGGCCTGGGCGGCCGCGCAACAAAGGAGCCACCCGGCGATGAGCCCCGGCACCCCCGGCCCGACCATGGGCAGATCCCAGGTAACCCGCGCCGGCCGGGCCTGCTTCCGCCGCGGCGGCCTCGCCGCGTGCCGCGAGCTCGAGTTTCTTTCTTTCCTCGTACTTTTTCTGCGTCTTGTGTCGGGGAAGGCGGGGGCGAGACACCCAAAGCCATTTTAACTCGCGGTGCCGCGCTCGGGGGCTGGGGAGCGCATCGGGTCCGCCTGCGCGGCCCGGGGCCTGGGCAGGGGGTGTCGCCGAGGCCCGGGACGGGCGCCGGGACTGCCGGCGCCGCGCACCCCCGCCTGGCCACCCCACCCCGGGCGCGGAGCCGCGCGCTCGGCAGTGGCGACCGCGCCGCGAGAAAGCGGCGGGCGCCGGGGACCGGTCGGCAGCTTCTGAAACAGATACGCGCCCCCGGTTGGGCTAGTTCTGTCTGGGGAGGAATATTGACCCCATCTTCTCGGTTAGCGCCAACAATACGCTTGAACTGGGAAAAGAACGAGGAACTTTGTCCTACCTCCAGCCACACTACGTCCCTCTGAGCTTACTAGGTGAAGGCAGAAAAAATAGGTTAGCTTTGTGGTAGCCGAGTGGGTTTTTCGTAGTTATGTCCAGCCATTCAGATACTCGACGCGGGCTTTGAGTTTGACTATTAAGTAGCAAAAGTAATACCCAAATTTACAACGATATGGAGGTAACATTCTGAAATTTATCGATAGATTCCTAAGAATAGCCGGGAAATCCATTATTTGGCTTACGGGCTGCTGGAAAGAAGTCACCTTCAACAGGCTATGTTAAAGGAACACAGTCCGGTTAAATGGAACTTACTTTGATCATGGATTAGGCATACATTTTATTTAGAAAATCCGGGAAAACAGCAGACCAGTGAAAATCGATCTTTTTGGATTGGATTTATTTGGATTTTCTTTAATTTGCTGTCACCCAAGCCCTACAGCGTTGCTGGGAAGTGTCCTGCGCTCTTGCTGTTTCTTGCTGGTAGGCTAAGCCTAAAGACTGACTTGATCTCCTTTGCAAGGTTTGGAATTTGAATTGTGGAGGTAAACTGGCTGTAATAGTCTCCAGACAGCTGCCTCTGAGTTGACATCTAATCTGCCATCTGATTGGCTCCCCTCTCACCATTGGGCATTTAGCACTGCTGATGTAAATAGAAGTGCTGAGCAGTACAGTCACAAAAATTCTTGCCACAAATAATGACTGAGCTCTATTACAAGCAGATGTAACGTTGAGTATTATTTAAAGCTTAAGTTATTATGAATCATAGTTATTAATAAGAGGATTAAGTACATAAAAACATGCGGTTGTCCAGTATTAGGCATTTTCAAAATTTAGATCTTGACAGTCTTAATATAGATACTGCATATATCGTGAACTTTAATTGTAGGGTGAGAATATGGCAATTGAAAAATAATTAAACGAAGAATTTTACCAATTTTTGGATTTGTGAAGCTTTTGTGAAAGTGCTGTTTACAGATTAAACTGAAAAAAATTTGATGTCAGCACATGTAATTTAATATAAAATCTAGTTATACCATTAGAAAGTTCAAGATTCTGATATGCAGCAATATCTTTTAGTGATATTTATTCTATAACAAGACTAAAGCTGTATTTCTAGTAATTTAGACTTCAATAATTCTGACCATTTTAAGATGTTTGTGGGTGAGGAATTTTGTTAAAATTGACATATTTAAAAAACAAAGGAAACTGATAATTTTTTGCAGACAATTAGATAAAAAGGAAAAATGATATTCTTGTGAAATACTAATAATAAGTTTATATTTGCTTTGGGGTATACAATAATGTCCCCCCCCCAGGAATCTTTTCTTTTTTTCTTGATTATTTTGTTAGAGTAAAGTGAGCCTTACTTGAACTGTTTACATGATGTATTAGGGAAAGTATATTACATGCAAGGGGTGTTGGTGTGTTTCTTCCAAATAATTTTTTTTTATAGACATCTTAAATGCTATGAAAGTTTAAAAAATTCTCATCTGTTAGAAAGGGTAACAGTGGTTGTAATACATTACTGAGCTCATTTTAGGAAGTTATATTTTAATAGTAATGTCTTAGAGGAGAGATTTGTCAGAATAAATGCAAGGCTGAATTTAACAGATAATCATGTGAAAATCCTGGGCTGAGGACCTTAGTATCCACTCCTTTCAAATCTTCAGTTAGTGGAGTTTTACTTTTAATGATAATGTGTTTTCCTGGTCTTGATAGTAAAACTTGAGATTTCAATTTTTGTTTTTGATTTGCACAAGACAGAAAAACCTGTGTAAATAAAACCATGTAATTAATTTTAAAAAGACTTGCTTTGTCAGCGTGCCTTTTAAAGGGACAGTTTAAAATTCATGTCTTTGGTAAAGTAGGAAAGGAAGGATGGTAGAGCAGATGTAGGTCTGTGTTATTTTAAGATATTATATCTTAATGGTACCAATCATTTTAAGTATTGTTTTCTTGGAATGAGAGTGAATCCATTATGTCCTCAGTGTGACCCTTGGGATTAGCTTTTTTATTTTTTAGGGGGAAGAGAAATGACGGGCTTATGACCTAGATTCACAGATTTCTTTTAGGTACCTTACTGTGTATAACATGTGGAATGTTTCTTTTTTATGTTTTGTCTTTTTGGAAGGCTAGTGTTCTTTAGTTTTTGTTCTGATAATTATACTAAGAAAACAGCCACTTGTCCAAAATATTAAATTACTACATAACTGTAGGTCATGAAATACTATTAAATTATGTTATTAAATGGTGAAATTTTCTTGTGCTTTGTAGCACATTTAGTTTCATTTTTGATTTTAGGAATGGTTTATATTGTGTGGCAAATGTTTTTTTGTAATCGGGAACAAAACATGTATATTGTAGTAGGAGGCTCTTTTTAAAAGTGAAATAAGTCATTTTATGGTACAGTTACTGGTTTTTTGTGAGAAACTATTCAGATAGAGCAGTCTTAAAAGGCTGAGGTCTACTCACATAGCTAAGATTTTATGTCAACATTTGTACTGAATTCCATTAATGCTATTTTAACTTTTATAGAATATAATACAATGGAATTTTATTTACCAGAGCTTTATTTACCATTAAAACAAAAGTGATCACCTGGCCTTGCAAAGCAGGAAGTTGCAGGCTGGTTCCTTATTACCTTAAAATTTATGTAAGATACATTATACCATACGATCACTCCCGACTTCCCCTGTCAGTGAAATCTTTACCTTATCTGATACTTTAAATGTTGTTAATAAATTTTTGTGGCCTAAATTGATATATTTGCCTGCTGAAGTAGGACTGATTGGCTGCTATTGCCAGAAAAGGTGGAATTGGCAATGGTGGTTAATAGAAAAGGCCTACTATTTAAAAAACAAATAAAATCAAACAAATGTCTATAGTTTTCTATTTTCCTAGGTTATCTAGGGTGAAATTATGTCTGGCTTAAAAATTGTTTTCATTGGGGATCCTTATTTCTGTGTACTTACTTTTTGATGATTTTTGTTTAAACGGCAATTACTCATTAGGGCAGCTATCACTTAAATTTATGTTTATATTAACAAAATCAGTAAGTGTATTCCAGGTAACACCATAATTCTTACCTTGGGTCTATAATGAGAAGCTGTATTCCCTCTTTTTCCTTTGGTTTTGTTTTTTATCTATATTTAGGAGTGAGTTTTTGGCAAGCCTTTTTATACTTCTCCATTTTCCCAGTGTCATACTGTATCAGCAGTATCAGAAGTGTGTTATGGATATTGAAATATTCCAAATCACACTTAGACACTTTTACTTATGTACCTACTCTTTAAATACCGGGTTTTCGTTGGAATTGAAAGGATAACATGCTTACTCTGGTATAAAGATAGTACTAATTCGGGTTTGGGAACTAATTTTAAAAATGTAAGACCATGTAGAGGAAGACTTTTAATGTAAACTCATTTGGTAGTTTTATTAGATGCAAACACATTTTTAAGAAAACAGTTATGATAGAATGGGATTTAGTTTTCAGTTCTATTTCTTATTAATGAATGGACTTTACTGCTTTATAATTTGGGGCAGAGTGTATCTTTAAAAATGACTTCTGATGTAGTAGGAACTTATGTATTTTCCTAGGATAAATAGCAGTATGACAGGCAAATCGAAAAGGTGATTGGTTCATTTATTTAACCCTGTCCTCCCAGGAAGCAAGTGACTTGATTTAAAATTTGTTGGAGTCTATAAAATTGTGATGCCTATTTTGAAGACTGATTTGGAGATGTAAAGGCATAGGGAAATAGTTGCTTTTTGCCCTGTGCCCCAGATCCAGAGGCTTTTCTCACTACTCTGCACTAGAGTTGACATTGCTCAGTTACTGGATCTGTGTGCTTTGATCCATTTTTGAGGAACAGGGACTGATAATTCCTTTGTGTCACTGTTGTTTTAGGCTGTGTGTAGATTTGTAAATTTGAGGCTTATATTTAGGTTTGAAAGAACTGTTGTGTGTGACTTTAAAACAACAGACCTATGGAGACTCAAAATGAATATTAATAAAACTCCAATTCCATTAATTTTTTTTTTTTTTGCAGTATTTAGATTTTCAAAATGGACGTTAAAATTTTTTGTGACGTTTTACAATGATGTTTATACTTAAGAGGTCACACCTTCATCTTAGGCCTTTTTGGAATTGGGTAGTTTTTGGTTGCATGTCTTTTTGGAGGTGTATTTTCTCTGTCAGGAGATGTGTGCAGTTTCCCTGTGGACATGTAGAGAAGAGCTGTATACTTGCTGTGTATGCATGCTTGCAGCTGAGGAATCCCCAGCTCCTCGTTCCCTGTGGTGTGGGGGAGAAGTACCAGGCACAGCTGCTTATCCATCAAAAGGACATATTTATGTCATAGATGTAAAACTATTATACAGTATTGCTTTTTCTAGTTTGGAGGCTATTTATTTAAGACTAAGTGGCCCTTTTTGATCTAATTGGGTGATTGAGTGAGTTAATTGTCATCTAAAAACTTGGTATACTTTAGTGACTTTTTCTCTTAGAAGTCTTGATGAAAAGA